TAGCTCCAGGCTCTTGGGAATGATGCCACTTTGTCGACATCTGAGGTTGAATCGCAAATGGTTCCTGTAGTCTGCCCTCTTCCTTGCTGTTTTCTCAAACTCTCTTACTAGTTTGAGGCAATCCTGGCCAAAGTGGTTCAAAATATCCTGATGCATGCTCAATAATCCAGGTAGAAAAATCTAAAAAAGTTCAATCTGGTCCTCTGGACATTCAAAAAAACAAAACAAAGCAAAACAACAAAAAAATGTAGAAACGTTTCGTCTCTCATCCGAGAGACTTCCTCAGTCTGAGGTGCTGTTTTCAGCTCAGTCTCTTAAATAGCACCTTCTCAGAGTGGATCAACCAGTTTTGCTGCTGACAACCAAAACCAGTTGATCACATGCTCAGGAAGGACCATCAGCCTTGTAGATGAACAGATGCTGAGATATATTCATCAATTAAAACGGATTCTTCATTTTTCTGGACTGAATAAAACGTGCATTGAATTTAATGAAATGTAAACGTGAGACGTCATTTATCTTTGACCCATCAAAATGAATGCGGTCATTTATTTTACAGAATCAAAGTTTAACATCAAACATTTACATTAATTTGGCAAAATATGAAAATAACAACATAATTAACAGCTTTACAGGTAGTGAGAAACAATGCGGCGATTGTTTCCACTCTTCAGCAGAACAGCAGACATCAATGAAAACTGTACAATTATGATCAATTATCCACACGGCGGTGGATGAGCACTTTACACAGACATTTCTAAATTATCTGGAAGGATTTCTACTTGAGAGAAGAATTTAAAGATGGAAATGAAGTTTAAAGGGAGTAAAAGATGGTGTGTGAGGGGAAGTGTTGACCAGAACCGACACTCTCCATTAGAACCCAGCTTTTCCTCGGTACGCTTTGGTAGGAAACTTGACTCATTACCTTTCTGAAGATAAATCAGCAGATATGGAGGTCCAGTTAACGCTACCTGTCCAGCGTCTCCATAGGATGGCTGTGACTCGTCCGAAGTAGTGACGAGATTCCGTCCGACACCAGCTCACCTCAGCAAGTGGACTTCACATGAGTGGAATCCTTCAGAAGTTCCACTCAGAGGTGGAAGATGTTATAATCCAACTCGGAGGAGCCTTATCATGCTGGACTTCTGTTCTCCCAAACGACTTCACAGAACTGCTCCGCCCTTCACCGAACTGAGAGAACTAGGAAGTACCGGCATTTTAAAGAGCTCTATTTCCGGTATATTTGAGCGTCCCTGATTGGTCCATATTAACCAGACAGGGGTGTGTTTTGTGATGTAAGAGGTTACTAGAAGTCAGAAAACAGCAAGAATTGTTATGGAACAGATTAAACTGTTCTCAGAGACAGAGAGAGTTTTGTTTTGGCGAGTTTGGAAACAGGTGCCAACTCCTCCGTTGACGTCTGAGAGGATGTAAACAAGACAGTTGTTCCAACACATGTCTGCTTCGACTCCTGACCTTGGAAAAAGCACACTTGCTCATTCAAAGACAGAAATCAGAAAATGCATAAAAATCTGTTACAGACCTTAACATGAATTCTAACTCTGCATATGGCTTAAAAAATCATTACACTGTTTCACAGTTAATAAAATTGATTAGTTCACTGCAACATCTAAAATGGTTTGAACTAAGACACTTTGATTATCAACATTTGTAAAATAGTAATGATAATAAAAAGAGAGTGTTCTTTCACTTGATTTTCAAGAAGGAAAGTCTCAGGATGGGTGAACCTGTATTTCTGGATTCAAATCAATGAAATTACAGTTTCTGTCCCACAAGGTTCTTAAGGTCAAGGGTTTTGACCTTAGGCTTAGTTTTGACATCAGGTTAAGTTCACTACAGCCTAACAATGGATCATTAGCACACTGAAAACACACACTACGCACACTAAAAGCCACTGGGACGTTATGTTTAGAAACCCCAAGTTTTAAACCCCAAAATACATTACGGCAAAGACTGGTTCATCCCAAAGATCCAGTCCCCCGGCACAAACAGAGTAATGTTGTGTATGTTGTTCAGTGTCAGGAGGGTTGTGATCAGTCTTACATCGGGGAAACAAAACAGCCACTGGCCAAAAGGATGGCCCAGCACAGAAGATCAACATCATCAGGCCAGGACTCTGCGGTCTACACTCATCTCCAGGCCAGCGGTCACTCTTTCAGGGATGAAGATGTTCACATCCTGGACAGAGAGGAACGATGGTTTGAGAGAGGAGTAAAGGAGGCCATCTTTGTGAAAAGAAATCGTCCATCATTAAACAGGGGTGGAGCCTCCGGGTTCAACTGTCCCCCTCTTACAATGCTGTGATTGCTAGTATCACTCAGCCCTCTGTGAACAGTAAACAGCCATCAGGTGCTAATGATCCATTGTTAGGCTGATGGTCCTTCTTGACCATGTGATCAGCTGGTTTTGGTTGTCAGCAGCAAAACTGGTTGATCCACTCTGAGAAGGTGCTATTTAAGAGACTGAGCTGAAAACAGCACCTCAGACTGAGGAAGTCTCTCGGATGAGAGACGAAACGTTTCTACATTTTTTTGTTGTTTTGCTTTGTTTTGTTTTTTTGAATGTCCAGAGGACCAGATTTAACTC